TGGAAGTCCATAAATGAACATGTGAAAGCGTCTGACTGCAAACACCACCGCCAAAGCCTCTAGGTCGGTGACGTGGTAGCGACGCTCGGCTTTACTGAGACTCTTGGAGGCAAAACACACTGGATGAAGTTGTTTATCATCCCCTTCCTGGGACAAAACAGCCCCAAGCCTACCTGTCGATGCATCTGTACATACTACAAACGGCCTCGAACCCTCTCTAGCCTTTTCAATATTCGGCTGAGTCAGAACTGGAGCGGTCGAAATCATCTCCTTGAGCCTTTCAAACGCGATCTGATGCTCCTCACTCCATTTCCAAGATGACTTCGGCGATGTGAGGGAGAACAAACACCCCGCTACTTTGGCAAATCCCAAACAAAACTTCCTATAAAACGAAGCCATCCCTAAAAACGTTCTCAGATCTTTCACAGTTTGGGCACCGCATAATTTTGGATTGCTTCAACCTTCCCTGGATCTAAGTGGATGCCTTTACTGTCAATCAAGTGCCCCAGAAACCGCACTTCCGTCTTCATCAAGACACACTTCCGAGCCTTGAGTCGTAAACCTGCCTGCTGCAGTAACGTGCACACCTTCCTCAGCAGCTCTACATGTCTTTCTCGTGTTTCAGTGCACACAATGATATCATCGATGTAGCAGAAAACTTCCGCGCCTAAGACGTCATGCAGCACCGAATCCATCAGCCTTTGGAACACAGGAGGACTGGTACTCAACCCAAACGGGGTGACGGTAAACTGGAAGAGACCCTCTGTTGTTGCAAAGCTGACTTCTCTTTCGCCTCATCCGTCAGTGGAATTTGCCAGTACCCACTACAAAGGTCCAGCGTCGAAAAATAGGCTTTGCCCGACAAACTTTGGAGCAATGCATCAATTCTTGGTAGGGGGTACGAGTCTAACTTATCCTCTTATTCAACTCTCTGTAGTCCACACATAGTCTTAGACTCCCATCTTTCTTCTCTACCAATACAATCGGAAAAGCCCATTCGAACTACTTTTCTCGATAATTTTTCTACTCTCCAGATCTGCTAGCAGCTCTCTCAGCTTCTTTCGTACACCTAGAGGAACTGGACGAGCTTTCATCTTCACTGGCTTATGCTCCCCAGTGTCAATGTCCATTCTTCACACGGTCTGTTCCCGTTAACTCCCTCTCGCACACAGAAAATGCCGTCTGGGAATTCGTCCAAAACACTCAAAATCTCTTCACTCAACTCGTCTACTCCGGTACTCTCCCTGACCTGTTCACGCAAAACTTTTTCCTCTCGGCCGGGGTAAGCTCATATGGTTCGCTATCCATCATTAGCGGTCGCAAGTCTTCTATTCCTTCTCTCCACTTTTCGGTCCCCCAACGGCCCATTTCTTCGCCTTCCCTCAGAATCATGGGATTTTCGCTATCATTTATTACGGGAACCTTCAGCTCCTTGGTTCTTTATCCTGAATACACCAGCAGCCATACCGCCCTTGCATGGCCATAAGATACGCTCCTCTTCTTCGCTGTATCCCTCACAGCGGGCTGGGACCAACGCTCTTCCATAGGGGGGTACGTATGTCCGCCTCGCCACGACTACTGTTTGAGAATCCTCTTCCCCCACCTTAGCCTCTCTTGGCGCCAGCACCACCTGCACACCTACATCTTTTAGGGCATTTGTACCTAACAGTATTTCTCCCTCTTTCACATCCGATATGTGGAAGGCCACTTCTGCCCTTATCGCCTCCTTCCAGCTCTACTTTGCTTTGACCGCACCCAAAAAGGTCATGCTGTTACCCGACGCATCCAACACCGGTACCATAGACCCTTTAGGTATCACCTCCAGGCTGTCAACATCGAAGCCCATCTTCTGTGCTCTTGCTAGCACACCCACTGGCATAATGCTCACCATTGAACCCGTGTCGAGAATTGCAGGCACACTCATATTCAGTAGCCTAGCTTTGACCGACACTGTCCTTCCCACCAGTGGTGTTTCCGCACTCTCTATCAATTCACATTTCACTCCCAGACTTCGTGCACAAGTTATTATCGACGATATCCTCTGTCTCTCTCTACCTGCTTCCTTTTTCCCAGCTCTCTCGAGGGGTGGTGTGTTCCCCTTTGGGGGTTTATCTGCAATTTGGTTAACTTGGGGTTTCTTCAACGGGCAATCTCTACCAATGTGCCCTATTCTTTGGCAATTGTAGCATCTCCTGTGCTCGCTGTATTCGCCCTGCCTCGGACGCTCCCCTCGCGAGGCCACAGCATTGCCACTTCCCCCAAGATCATTTGGTCCATGGCGACGCAACCCACCTTCACTGTTTTCTTCTTTGGGGCCTGCCTTCCTGTCATGTTGCACTCCCCCCTCGACCCCTTTCGGCTCTAGCTCTCGCTTCCTTTCTGCTTGTTGGTACGCCATTGATCTTCTTTTCCACCCATCTCTACGTGTACTCCCACTTGAAGCCCACATAGATTTCGACTGTTCCATTGTGAGAGCCAGCTGCTTAACAGAATCATACGCTTCTGACGGGCTGACTCCATGTAGTGTGCTTAGCAACTGGATATGCTCCGGCCAATCTGTTAGGTTGTCTAAGAGAATCTGAGCGTATTCTAAGGATCTGTCTTTTATGCTGCATGAGGGGTTGGCCTGCCTCCCCAAGTGTTCAAGGACACCTACAGAAATCCGCTACGCTCTGACCGGGTCTTCGCCTTAGGCATCTCAGCTCCGCGAGTGCCCTCAGTCGACCCGCCGTCGAATCTTGCGTCAGCATTTTCCTCACCTCTTCTACCACTGCCTCAAAACCCCGCTCTCTCACACTGTTAGGCAATGCTAGAAGCACGCTCTTAGCCCTACCTTCCAGATGATCGTCTACCATAATATCCAACAATGTTTGGTCATCGAACCCTACAGCTCCATATTTTCTTTTGAACCGCCTAATGAATTCATCGAAATTCTCACTTTTATTACCCCTAAATACACCAGGCCCTACGCATGCATTGGCCTGAACCCATGCCATGAAATGCAATGTCTCCTGACCTGGTATGGCGGCCCTCTCTGACGATATCACCGAATGCAGCCTCGAGTGCGGCTCGTAATACGCTCCAGTCTGTCGACGTTCCGTCGAGTTTTCCCTCGGCTCGACCTGAATAACTTCTTCATTGGGTGCACCCTGGCTTCTTACTATCATGTTCCTTGACTGACCATTTGATTCTTCAGTGTCCATTTTTTCTTCACTCGGCTTTGACTCCACTTGCCGTCTTGCTTAGTGCTCGCGACGGCTGTATTGCACTGAGTACTCCTCGTAAATGACCAGCGTCCGTCTGAAACATATCACATAAGTCCGCGATAAGTTCGCCATCTCGCTCTGTAGTAGCAATATACTCATTCCAATCTTTCACGCTCTCAATCCCTTTGTCATACAGGGTCTGAAACAACTCATTCCCAAATAATGCATGCCCTGTCACGTTTGCTTTAAGTTGCTCTAGTATCTCAACCGCTTGGTTTACCTGCTTCTCCAAACTAGTTCTCATTTGAGCTCTATATTTTCCCGCTATTCGGGCATCCATCAGCTCATTTTCAACTTGACTAGTCACTTGCTTGATCTCTTTTATTACCCTATCAATTTCCTCACTCACTCTTTTGAATGGAAATTGATCCTGTACAAAACTGACCTGCGCTGCACATCCTCCTGTGCCCGCTCAACCATGGCGTGGCCTCCCTATTCAAGCTCATCCTGCCAACCCTAACCTAGTATACACGTCTGCCACAATCAACCGACAATATAAGCGAGAAATCGATTCAACAATGAAAGACTGTCCGTCTAGCCAAAAAGCGACAATATGCCGATCAAACACGCGACAAATAATCACAACCACAAGACGAATCCCTGATCCTATGCATCAATACAACAACGACGCCTCCGTGCCAACTACCTGGACCACCACCCAAATAGCACCGTACCCCTATTCTTGTCACTGCTCTCCGTCAGCCTCCCTATCTCTTCGGCTGATATCTGGAGCTCTCTCTTGCGCCCTACTGCGCAAAATTTCTCCGCCTAGTACTCGACCGGTTCGGCCCCCATGTATCTATGGGCCCTGGTTCTTGTCAAGTACGACCGCTTTCTCAACGGGTTACACCGTCACACGCACGAAACACAACAAGTTTATCGAACAACGAAACAATTAATTAACGAAAGGCACGCAATAATTACAAAACAAAGAATATTAGAATCGGGATCACAATATTCGGCCTCGGTGATGGAGACCTCGGGCCTTAGCGACGACGATGATGAGGGGATTGAGTTCGGGATGGAGAGGCGCGGCTTTGGGGTGCCCTTTCTGGGCTACTGCAGACAAGAAGACATCTGAAACGCTCCTCGCCCCCTTTTTATCCTAACAATTCCCGCCAAAACTACGCCTCTTGGGTGGTCGATCACACCCTGACCTATCTAAACGGGTTCGACCACCCTCATGCCACACAGTGCGTAAAAAACGCGCACATTTGACAGCCCTGTCATGACGTTCCTTTCCTCGAATTCTTGCAGGAATGCGAAGAAATCTGGAAAACACATGATCAATGCTCGTAATATCTACTGATCTCTTCGGGAACCCCTGATTTGAGAAAAAAATGCAAGACTATTCCAAGAAAAGTTCCAGGACTAAGCCTTTGAAAGGAAAGACCTCCGGAATGCGGAGCAATTTCGGTTCTCTCCGGATTCTCCCTGCGCTAGGCCTAGTATAGAGGCCTGCCACAAAAGGCACGTTCGGTAAAAGTAGACATTTGTCGAAGAAAGGCCTGATGGGCACGCGCACGAACAAGCCAGCCGCTATAGAGCTGGCCGTAAAATTCAGTGTCTACTCTGCATCTCTACACAAGTGCAATGATACCGTACACCATTTGTGCGTTGGTGTGTTCTCGTTCAAACACGCTTTCCAGTTTCCAATGCTTTTTTTTACATGAAGTTGCTTGTTCACAGATTTTGAACTATCTGTATTTCTCATAAACAGGGTGTCGGGGAGGTATGGCAAGGGTCCGTACTTCACATCCGAATGCGACAGATGCATCAACAAGTCGAGCAGTCCGAGGTCGGAAGCCGCGCATGAAGAAAATGTCAGCTGTGAAGCGAAAAGTTGGTCGTCCACTTGGTATTGCACGTCGAATGGCTACGGTAGGTTCACTTCTAGGCTGTATATTGTACTGGTGACTCGTTGCTAGTATTTCATTCGCAACTGGTTCATATTTTTAGCTCTAATAGTTACGATGTGTTTTGTAGACTAATAAATTATCGAAACGGTTTGTTGGAATTCGCATGCCAAGGATACAGAAAGGGCGAGGACGAGGTGGGGTGCGAAAAACTGGTCCATCAACTCACACACCTCTCAATCGAAGTCCTCATGGCAAGCTGTCTCCGATCAAGACCCGAAGACTTCACAAGTCGTATGTCTAGTCTTTACATAATTGTGCTGTACATGTTTTCTAGTGTTTATATTGTTGTTCTTTTGATTCCTTTCTTTTGCAGGAAACAGTTAAATGTATCCAGATGTACTATTTGCAAAACTTCCGATGGAGATCTCTCTTCCTGCACTAAGTGTCACAAATTATGTAAGTTTTTGCATTTTTAGCTATTTTAAGTGAGGAAAAGCTCTTTAATCCATTTTCGCTGTTGGGCGTGGCACAAATTTTCATTTAAGATCACCTTTACAAATGTGTATTATATTCTTTGGACATGGTTTCTCGTGCATCTCAGGTGAAGTGGCTTTGTCCAAAGGTTGGTGATTCCCAATGCTTTAAAGTCAACATTTCCGGATGCTTTAAAGTCGACATTTTCGATTTTTCAATGTTTCGAAGTCAACAGTTTCCACTACAAGAAATTACGGACAATGTTTTCAGTGTATTCGTTGTTCAGCTTGCCAGTTAATGATTGATGATCCAACAAATGTTGAATGCGTGAATTGTCTTCGGGCTTGGCATGGTGCATGCAAGCCAGCAAATAGCGCTGAACTGGATCGTCTTTGGTTCTGCAATATTTGTTTGAAGGGTGTGAACCAGCCAAGAAGTCTGAAGAGGTGGGTCTAATGTCCTCATCATTCAACCTGTTTCGCACGACTGCAACAACAAACTTGCAGAAGTGGCAGCGAAAAAGGGCGCAGATTATCGAAGAATCCTCCAATATCGACTCCTTCAGCAACTATTTCAACATCCACAATTGAACCGGGTAGCAATGAAACTCCTCGTCGGAAGCGTGGCAGGCCGAAGGGAAGTAGGAAATCAGGCCATGTTGCAGTAGCCGACATTTCCTTGCCTAGCTGTTCCAAGTATGTCTCACAATTTTCTGAATGTTTGGATTTCTGTCTTTTCTAAGCAGCTCTCTTAATGTATTTATGGAAATCATACATTTCTGTTATGTATGTCTACAATATTCTTTTTATGGAATACAAATTAGCAATAGTGATGTAATTATTTTTGGAGTGTTATGAATTGTCAACCAACTAGCAGTCTAACTTTAATCATGAGAGATGCATTTTTATATAGACTAATTTGAGTCTTTAAGTGCTCCTGCGGAATCTACCGTGGAGGAGGTGAAGGAGTTCGGAAATACTCCGAAATTTGTCCCATCTCCACATAAAACTCGAAGAGAGTTCGGTTCTAGTCCTCAAAGGAAGTCGTTGCTACCCGACCAGCCCGAAGTGTGCTCTACTAGTGTGGGAGGGAAACTGTGAGTTTTCAGCGCCTTTACTTAATCTATTCAAGTCTTCTAATTGTATATTCTGTCGTAGGTTCGATGTTGCACTTGCCAAAATGAAAGAAATGGAGGTGGACAAGAAAGCTAATTTGCCGAAGGATAAGGAGCAGTGGGTGAACTTTGGAGGGGAGTCTGATATAAAGGTTTGTAAGTGTCCAATTCACAATACTGAGTAAGCTTCTGTACTATATTATCGCAGTTCAGGTCCTTTATGAAAGTCCTTACCCTGATGACATAAAGAGCGTTCCGTTGTTTTTTATTTGCGCCTACTGCTTGAAGCCCTTCAGCGAGCAGTCTTCGTTCTTCGTTCACCAGGTTTTTTTTTCATTTTCGTTGCCTATTTTTGCCTGCATTTAAAGGAATCTTCCACGGAAAAGCTCCTCCTTCATTACCACAGAAAACGATACCTTAAAGGAATCTTCCACGGAAAGAGTGATCATTTTGTCTTAGTGTTAG